TCTTCATATTAGTAAAAATCAACAGTGCTTAATATTATATGAATTTTTTTTTTATTTTCTTCATATTAGTAAAAATGAACAATGCCTAACGTTAAATGATTTTTTTTTCGTCATAATTAATAAAATTCAACAATGTCTAATGTTAAATTATTATTATTTTTTTTAGTTTCTTCATATTAGCAAAAATCAACAATGCCTAATGTAAATTTTTTTTTTTTACTTCATAATTAATAAAAATCAACAATGCCTAAGGTTAAAGAATTTTTTTTTTCTTCATATTAATAAAATTCAACAATGCTTGCTGTTACATTAATTTTTTTTATGCTTATTATGAAATGAATTTTTTTCCCCATTAGTAAATTTCAACAATGCTTAACGTTAACTGAAATTATTTTACATTTATAAAAACTATTTACCTTTAAAACTCATAAGTATTTGCATGCAAATACTATAAATGATTAATTAATAACAAAATCTCTAACAGAGATTTAATGACAATAACAAAAGCAACGGACCGAATTAATCGCACTGTTGTACATAGCATATTCCATCTCAATGAACATTTCCCTGTAGGGATAAAATTAATCGGAACGTTAATATCAATCTCAGAACACAGATAGCAAAATATTTCTCCCTAGAACCAATTAATATCGGTAGGATTATTTACCACAAATCTCACAGACACAATTCTCTGGGGATCAATACCGAAAAAGTACCAACATCAATAAAATAAACACATTCCAATTACTTACTTATTACATCCTTAGGGATATTTAATATACCGGAACTGAGTGCGAATCATAATTCCCTATTTTTTTCTCCATAGGGATTTCTTTTCCCGTCATTTTGACTGCCGATTTAATTTCCCAAGAGTGATTTGTATCTAATGATTGATACCAGGAAAAAAATTGACAGTAACTAGAATAATTTATTTCTGAGATTTAGTTATGATAACCAACTAATGATGGATGTTATTGATAGTGAAAATCTAAAAAATAAATGCTACGTTTCCATGAAAATCCTTAAAAAGACGATTTTAATTACGACTGAAAACTGATCAAACTTGCCTTTATAATTAACAATTTCAAACTTTTTTTATTTAGTTTCTTAGAGTAAATTATGTTCATTATTGGACTTTTAATGTTCAAAATTTTAACTTTTTTTTATACTAAACTACTTGTATAATTTTTATTTTATATTTCAGAAGATTTTTGGTATAATTAAAACAGAATAGAAGGAAACTTGCTCATACATAACTAAACCTAAATCAAATTTTCAGTTTTTAAAAATAAATCTTGTAAATAATTTTTATGAAGAAAAATTAAAAAATAGATTAACCTCAGGTTAGTCAACACTAAAACCAGTCTACACTAAATGTAACTACTTATAACCAAATTTAAGATCAACTTATTAAAGAAAATACAATTAAGAAGCCCGACTCTTGGCTCAGTGAAAATATGCATTAGGGCGAAGGTTCAATCCACTGGCGGCTTTGTTGTAAAAGCTGATTAAAAAGAACAATGAAAATCAATGGCATGTGTGATGTTCAGCATCTTGCCTCGTTAGTTAGTCTACCTCGTGGGAGTTCCGGAGGAGTGGGGTTTCCACACAAATGTGCGGTAGTTCCCCCAAAAAGTCCATCCGGGAAACACTGCCCTCCCTCTTCAATGGTTTGGAGTCAAGTCAAACTTTCACGTGTTCGGTCACTTCAGAGAAAAAGACAACACTTCTTATCGACTCGTCGCAGAACTGTCTCTTTTCTTTTCCAAACACCTCCCTTTAAAGAATCCGTCAAGGGGGTGGCTCAGCTTCACTAAATTCTTGTTGGAATAGGCACTTTCTCAGTCCATGGTCTATCACTCATCGCGATGCAACGACTCATGGTATATCATATTCAATCCTTAGTTATTTCGATGTGTGAAGGTCATACAGGCATTCTCTAATTTCATGAGGTCTCATTATCCATGACACTGAATATCTGCAATCGGATTTGAATGCCAGGTTGTTCTCATTACTACAAAATATTAATTGCATGTAATATAACTATCCACAACACTGCTTATCTGCCGTCAAATTTAAGTGATGGGTTGTTATTATGCACTTGTCGAAGAATATATATTCTTCTTTCCTGGGAACGGAAAGCTACAACTCTTCCCGTGGGAAGAATGCTACAATACTATAAACCAATAAATAAGAAATGGCTTAGAAGTAATAGTTTTAATTAATATAAATATAAAATAAATTTATTTTATACTTGACACATAAAATATTTATGAATATTTAGTGCTTATTACGAATAATATTATTTGAGCAAACTTTGTGTTTTTCCACAAATACCCCATGCAAAATAACTTATTCTGTCAAGTCCAATAGAATGCTTTATGATAATATAGATGGACAATTAATTTCAAATTCTTAACTGTTCTAAGAAGCGAACACACCTTAAGTGATTAAAAATACTTCTCTCTAGATGCCAATTTGCATTCGAGACACGAGTATATTTTTCCTTTTTAATGTCAAAAATTGTCACCGCCGTACACGAAACCTAAAGTTAACTCTTTGACATCCATTCAGTGTTGTGAGCCCATTAGGTTAGGCAGCGAGGACAATTAGGCAAGTGAGTGGGATCGGTGGGCGAGAATGGAACCTAACGAACCCGAACTAATCCAGTTAGGCGCGTCTTCCGCATAATGTGAAGATTAATAGAAGACGTCGCGGAATGTGTCGGAAATTATCCAGTTAAAATATGAAATGCTTGTTAGACGTCAATTCGTTGAAATAAAATTGACATAATATTAAATAAATGTGATATTAAATTAATGCTTTTTTATAGCGTGTTCAGAATGATTAGTAATAAATTATATAAGAAGAGCACACATATGTTTTTTAAAATTTTTTCTTTCAGTACGTTGCATTTATGTTGCTTTATTTTGGCCAGCTAAGCAGTAAAATTAAGATACAGTGGTTAAAGTGGATTTCTTGATGTATTTGCTTTTTTCTTATCCCATTTAGTAGACAGAAACATCTAGACCAAATGCAAGAATTCGTGTGGTCTCATGGAAGCAGGGAAATGAGGGGCGGGCAACTTCTGTTGCGATGGAGCACCCGTAGGTTGAAGTCTGATTTGAATCCGTGGCACTGAAGAAGGATTTGATTTGGTTTGCGCTCTATGGTTTTCAGACTTTGTGCTAATTAGACTGGTGCCTATAGCTTAATGTAGATTCCGAACTACACTTTAAACAAAAAGTCAAGACGCTGCCGACGAAGAAGCGCAGTGCCTTTCCGGTGGACTTTTAGGGGCAACTGACACCCCCCTCCCCTTTTCGTATCGAATGGGAGAAAACTTGAAAAACTCAAACCAGGTAGTCTGACTCACGAGGTAAGTTGCTGAAATCACAAACGCCGTCGAGTCTTTTCGTTTTTTGAAACAGTGTCTACAACAAAGCCGCCAGAGGATTGAACTTCAGCCCTAATGTTCACCAGTGGCATACGTTGCCACTGAGCCACGAGTCGGGCTCTGTGGATGTAAAACAATTTTACAAACAATTACTATCGAGCCTCCTTGTTCATGAAGACATTGACTGCGAAGGATGTCCCAATTGAATTCGAACTTCAGCATGCCTGTAGGACAGCTGCACACGTTGATCACGAGTCGTACAAAATCAACATTTTAAACTATTAAAGATGTTGTATTGAATTTTATATGAATTAACAGAGAGAGGTCTTAATAATATAACACTCTATAATAATATTTAATACTACAGGTCCAAAATATAAAATGCCAAAGTATATAACTATTTTTGCAAAATTATCCCGTATTCTGCCTAGTAAATCTATATAATTTTATTAAAACATCAGTGGAAAAAGGATAAGATAAAAAAATTATGACAGTAAACACCACTCTTGTACATCTATTCTACCAAAAAGTCTTCAATAACAAACTTAATCAAAAATGATAAAACTATACGTCAGTAGCTTGTTTATTTCTTTTTTTTTTAATTCTTATTTGAGTTGTTAAAGCATGAATTCATGTAAATTGGCAGACGTGACTATAAATGCAGATTATTTTTGAAGTTGAATTTATAGAATAAATCTCCATTGCAGCCAGAAAAAAACGAACGTTAAGCTATTGGCGGCGAAAAGATTGTTTTTCCTGACTGTCCTGTAATGATGCAGCAGACAAATCCAATGATGATGATGAGCACAAGCGAGAAAAATGGACGCGCTCTTTAAAGGACTCGGATGGGCCATTAAAGCGGACCGCCTATTCAATCAGCGATGATCAACCTTCTGATTCGTCCTTCGAGAGCAATTGGGCCCTCCGCTTGCAGAGCTCGGTGGCATTTAATTTTTTTACTTGAATGGATGCATTTCCTGGCAGTTTGTGATTTGGATATTTTTTAATGCACGGTATTTCACTTATCGACATAATGATACACTTCAACGCACTATTTCTATTTGACTATCTCGAGTTCGATTCGTGTATACTTTCTAGTTAAGTAGTATTCTGATTTGTGGAGAATTAATAAATAAATACTAATTTATCTTTTTTAAATTCATGTATGGGTTTTTTTTTTTTTTTTTTTTTTTTTTTTTTTTTTTTTTTTGATACATGTATTCCTTATATTCATTCCTTGGCGGTTGGACAGTTAATCTGAAAAATCCTCTTGAAAACATTTGCTTTTTATGTACTTACTGTTAATCTAAAAAATTAATTTATCTTACAGTTAATTAAAAAGCGTGCATTAAAAAAGTTAATCTAAAAAAGCATTAAAAAACCCTTCGTTACATGTATTCCTTATATTTAACATTCCTTAAAGGCTGGGCAGTTAATCTGAAAAAGCCTCTTGAAAACATTTCCTTTTTATATATTCTCCATTTCCTTTAACTATAATATGGTTATCTAAATACTTCTAGTAACATAAAAACACGTGAATTAAAAGAATTTTGATAAAATGTATATATGTATTCTTTGCATTCCTTTCCGTTATATGTATTCCGCCGAAGTTAAGCATCATTGGGCGCGGTCAGTACTTGGGTGGGTGACCACCTGGGAACACTGCGTGCCGTTGGCAAATTTGGGACCTGAATGGCCGAGTGTCTAGCGCTCTGGCGCTCGGTGCCACAGGTTTCGGGTTCGAATCCCGGCGGTGCCATGGATGTTTGTGGTGGTTCGGAATCCACTTTAAGCCGTAGGTCCCGGTCTCCTATGACTGTAAGAGCGTCACGGAGCAAAAGTCAGGCTTTTACCTACGGGTGCTCCATCACAACAGAAGCTGCTTCCTTCCCCTTCAATCATGAGTCCATATGGGCTCGTGGGCTTGGCCAGCTAAGTGGGATAAGAAACAACAACATATGTATTCCGTACATTTAGCATTCCTTAAAGGCTGGACAGTTAATCTGAAAAATCCTTTTGAAAACATTATTTCTTTCATCGTGGTAGGGAATAGAGTTAACCATTAAATACATATTCTTTGCATTCCTTTCCTATACATGAATTATCTACCTTTTCTTTTTATGTATTTTCCCTTTTCTTTACTATTAATAATAATCTAAATGCAGTTAATTTCTAATTGTAGAACTTACTATCCCCCTTACATAACCCATCAAGAAATTTTCCACTTAAAGAACTTATAGGTCGTATTACGTGCGAAATGTTATGAATTTAAATGGCATTTCATAAATACCTAATTCCTTGATCTCAAATATAAAATGATGTAGTATACTATGCAAGAAATTATCGATTATGCTTCTTAACAGCAAGAAATTATCGATTATGCTTGCTTCTTCGATTATGCTTATTATGTCCTTTGACATTTACATTTTCTAACGCCATTAAATCGATATCACAATAACACAAATAGCTGAACGTATGATTAATAATTATAACAGTGATTGTCCTGTTTAAAATAAAAATATTCACCCCAAAGCGTTAGAATCACTTTGCATGTATAATAGCAGAAAATGAATTTAGATACGGAAAATTCTAGAACACTTTCACAGCTCGATTTATTTTATGATATTTTTTTTTTCACAAAATGCAGTCTCATTGAACAATTTAATCTCCAGGCGATCTGGAAATGGAAAAATCCCGGTGGGTGTTCAGCGGTTATTATGTTTGAAAAAGAAAAAAAAAGAGAGAACAAGTTTCGTTGAGTAAATATTGAAGCGAAATCATTTTTCACTTAGCTGTTACTTTTTGAACAGCGTCAAACACAACTGACTAAAAACTTTTCCGTTGCTTTGCTAACAAAAACAATTTAATGATAGATTATGTTGCAAGAGTTTCCATCTTTTTATTTTTATTCATCTGGTTGGAATATAATTTTTTGATAACGAATATATCGCAATGAGAATTATTTGTTGAATTATTAATATCGAAGATTTGTGAAAAGTTGGGATGATAAGGGTTAGCTATCTTTAATCAATTAACGTTTCAACTGGCTAAAACTGATAATAAAGATACGCCTAATTTAAACTTATTGACATGGCATTGACCTTTTTTTATAGAAATCATTAAACCCCGTTGTTGTTTCTTATCCACTTGGTAGACAGCAACATCTAGACCAAGTCCAAGAGACCAACATGAGACCAACCCGTGTGGTCTCATGGATGAAGGGGGTAGCTTCTGTTGTGATTGGGTACTCGTAGGTAGAAGTCCGACTTGACTCCGTGACGTTGACTTTCTACGAGGTAGGGTTGTCAGCCCAACGTGATGCGCCTGAATGGCCAAGTATCTAGCGGTCTGGTGCTCTGTGCTATAGGTTTCGGGTTCGAGTCCCAGCAGAGCCATGGATATTTGTAGCGGTTCGGAATCCAGTTTAAGCCATAGATCCCGGTCACCTATGACTGTAGAGCGTCACAGAGCCCAGTCAGACTTCTCACCCACATCATTCCCAAACTATATAGGATCAACTCAGGTGTAGCCACAGTGATGTGGTGTGGTGTAGTAATAACCCAATGCTCTACAGTCCTATTAGAGCAGACCTACGGCTTAAAGTGGATTCAGAACCACTACAAACATGCATGCAACCACCGGGACTCTAATCCGAAACCTGTGGCACCGAGCATGAGAGCGCTAGTCACTCGGCTATCAAGCCATCCTAAACACCTTAACGGATTAAGCCTCTTATACTCGTATTTCATATTTCTATCTTCTCAGAACATTACGAGTAACTCCTCGGAAGAAATTTTTTTTTCTGTATATCTTTTTTTCCGGAGTGGTAATATATTCCGCGCTAGCGGCGCAAACCTAAGTATCGGTTTTTCGGATTAAGAATGGAATCCTTCCATGAATCTAGAATTATCTGACTTTAAATGTGTTAAATATAACATGCCTTTAATTGTATGTGTGTCATGTTTGTGTGCATGTAAATAAAGCTGTCTCAAGTCTCAACCCAACCATACCCAGTTACAATACAGCTGCACAACCCACAACACTACAACTGTTCTTTTCCATTGAAATACGGCTCTAATAATCCAACTAAAATTTCATCAAAAGGCAGGAAAAATTTATAAAAGTGTTTAAACGTCCAATTTCACATAAACCTACTATTATCATAACAAAAATCCAGACAATAATTAACATTCAAAAAGTAATGGAGCCATTTTCCATCCCTTAAACATCAGCATCGCACTATTTTTGATGAACTTATTACAGATTATTACAGATTTTCTGATAATCGAGAACACCAATTTCGACATAAGCTTCAGAAGCTATTACATCAGCGAAGGTTGATGAGCGTGAAAAAATAAATGTTGAATAAGGTAATGTTGATGTCTCACGCGAGCCTACGTCATCCACAACTTCCCACGAAAATCCAATTATCATTCTGGATTCGTAGAGCTTGGTGTACCCAGTAGCGTTTGAGAACGCCATTAGCAGATTCAAGGTAAATACCGTAATACTCCAAATATGAACAATGCATTAAGAAAATAATAAGTGGTATTGTTCATCGTTGCACGTGAGAATCAAAAAAAATTATAAGTTGGAAAAAAATTATTCATATGTGACTGTTAAGTTTTTACAAGTTTATTCTAATAACACGATGTTTGTGGGCGATTTTATGGGTAATAAAATTTAATATTATTATTTTTATTTTATTAAAAAGAAGAATAGGTAGATAATAAATTTTAAGAAATGAATTTATTTTCAATGAATGTATTAAATACAGGTTGTTGATTAGCATATACGAAAACATTTTCGTCAGTAAAGAATGTTTATTATTAGGAAGCAATGTCTTTTTAAACAGGTATTTGTAACTTTGAATGTTATCTAATATTTAATAAATATATATCATTTTAAAATTATGTTTTATTATAATAAACTATATTGTAATAAAATAATAGGTTAACTATAAAAAAAAAAATGCATTAAAAAACATTAAGAAAAATTCCGTTTCAAATAATGTTAATAATAATAATAATTTCTAATTCTAATTTTTGTCAGTCAAGAGTATTATTTAAGAATCGATGTCTTTTAAAACAGGTATTTATAAATTCGAATATTATTTAATTTATAATAAATATATATAATTTTAAAATCCTATTTTATTATAATAAACTATAATGCAATATAATAAGTTAACTATAAATAAAAGAATAATGCATTGAAAAAACATTTAGAGAAAAATTCTGTTTCAAATATTGTTAATAATAATAATAATAATTTCTAATTCTAATATTTCTCAATTAAGAGTATAATTTAGGAATCGATATCATTTAAAACAGATATTTATAACTTTGAATATTATCTAATATGTAATAAATATAAATTTTTTTTAAAGTTATATTATATTATAATAAATTATATTGTAATATAATATGTTAACTAAAAATGAAAAAATAATGTATTGAAAATAAATGTAAAAAAAAAATTCTATTTAAAATAATGTTTATTGATACCATCTAAAAATGACAAATTATAATTGATGAATATAGAATAATAAATAAAGGAATAGTGATTAAGGAAATAAAAATCAATATTACTGAAGATAATGATTACGATAACTAAAAATCGTCATTTCTTAAAAATAATCGTCTTTTTTTTAACAGGACTTTTACCATGATTTTTAAAGCTTGAAAAACTAAAAGAAACACAATACGAACGATTTAAATAGTTTCCAAAATAAGATTAAATTTATTCTTTTATTTTAGTTAGTAATATGAATAAAATATTATTTATTAATAAATTGAATAAAATGCTATTTATTTAATGTTAAAAGATTAAATTTTTAGTAGTTTATGGTAAAAAGTAACAAGCAAAACATAAATTTTTAAACATTAAAAACTAAAACTGAAGGACTAAAGTTTCATGGAATCCTATTTCCTAAGCATTTTACTTGGAACCGTTTCCCAGATGTACCTTTGAGAGCGAAAAAAGCCGATTTTACAACTGAACGGTTCAGTGATATGCGATAGAACAAGAAAAAATATATGGTGTATAAGGGAGCTCAAATAAAAGAATTCACTCTAGCTCATCGGTACAGAAGTCTAGATCAAGGCCTTGAGGCTTTTAAGAAATATTGATGATGTATAATAAAGTTAAATACAAAGCAATAATAAAAATAACTTTTATTATTTAAGTTGATACTTATTACTACTGTTAATTTAAAACGTTACATGTATTCCTGGAGGACTATTTAAAAAGGAAAAAAATATATATTTAAGTATGGACTATTATTTTAATGGTTAATAATATAGAAGAATACACAGTATAAAGCATAGTGATTTTTGTTGTTCAGTATGAACTTTACACTTTTTAAATGTTCACCTAGAAAATGAAACAATTTTAAGCACTTTCAGGAGGACTTTGAAAGGTAATCAGATCAGGAGGATCAGGAGAACTTTTAGAGGTAACCATCCTATTTATACCTGCCTCATCTAAGAAAACGAGGAAAATTCCAACCAAGCAATCTGACTGTAGATTCTCTAAGAATTAAAAAAGAGAATTTATTGCTAGAGTTAATTCAAAGAAAACGGCTATTGATGATCTTTCAGGAGGATTTTCAGAGGTAATCAGAACTGGAGGATCACGCATTCAAATGTAACCATCCCATTTTTACCTGTGTC